CATGTCCATACTGAAGAACATATTTGGCACATACAGATAGGGTTAATGCCCCATGGGGGTTGATTTACTAAAACTGCATGGTGCAAAATCTGGTGCAGCTTTGCATAGAAACCAATCGGTCTCCAGGTTTTGTTGTCGGCTTAATGAAAAAACTGAAGTTAGAAGCTGATTGGCTACCATGCACAGCTGCACCAGATTTTGCACTCTAGTTTTAGTAAATCAACCCCATAGTGCCTGTTTTGCAAAAAAAAAAAAGTATTGTAACCAGGCAAATTTAACCCTACTGGGACTTACTCCATCCCACCCCTACCCCCACCCTCTCTGACAATAGCAAGGTGAATTTTTTTTGTTTTGTTTTCATGACCTTGCACACCCCACTTTCTATATTCTGGCCCAGGCCAGTATTACACTTCTATTGACCACAAGTTCCTGGTATGCCCACATCACACATTCCAGGAGGCTGTGGGTACTCTACTGCACATGCACCGGGTGGCTTTCTGTCTGTCACTTTTATCTGGAGCCAGAATCTTGATGACATGCCACAGCTCATGCATGTCATCAGGCAATTGGCTGCAAGAACCAGAAAGAGATAGCTGGCTTCCTGATGTCATGGATGAAAATGGTGGTGAAGGACCCAGTACCAAGCAGAGCTGGAGTGAACTGCACAGATCATTGCTGGCCGTGTGAGTATGTGGTCTACCCAGCAAAAAAGGCAAGAGGGTGGGAATGAGTGACGTTCTGCTCTCGAGATTTAACCATTGAATAGATTTAAAAAAAAATTGGAGGGGAGGTGATATTCTTTGAATCATTCTCTGAGGTAGGGACACTGAGTGTATAAAATAGATCCGTTCAGCCTACAAGACTTTAATGTAGAGTTTAATCTAAATTGCTTCCTGTGATGGGGAAGATTCATTTAAGTCAAATGATGATTAGAGTAGTGTTCACCTACAGACCATTGTTCTGAAGAATGGTGCAATTCACACCTGAAAACATGTCACTAGGTGGGGATGACTTAAATATATTAGTTTATGAAAAAGAAGGGTGAGGTGTGGGTGATTAAAAAGAGATACTGCATTGAAGGATTCTGACTTCAATAATGAGGGTGACAGGTGTTGGTGTAATTGAGCGTTTGAGTGCTCACTGGTACAAAGTTGTTCTTTGTTAAGTTTACTATATAAAGCACCAGAAGGCAATGAGCCACGACTTGGTGATCCTATAGGCAAAGAGTGTTACCATATATATATTTTTGTTGTTTTCGGGGTTAGATTTGTTAGTTGCATATTTTGAATATTCTTCTTGACTTTGTGATCCCCATGGTATATGTAAGGACCAAAACAATTTGCAGCTTAAATTACACCAGTATTACAAATATGCTGGTGTCTTGCTTATATATTCAGAGGTCTCAGTCAAAGGTGAGAAAAACACAAGCAAGAGCCAACCTAAGTGCAGTATATATATAAAAGTTTATTGGTAATATAGCTACTCGCAAGAAAGATAAGGTATACAGGTTGGAACATGTCCCTCGAGGTGGCCAGTACAGGGGCCAGTGGTGTCTGGTAATGCCTGGGTCCCAGGAGTGAGCTGTCAGCAGTGGATGCCGTGACAAGTGCCGTAACCAGCATGGAACGCACAGAAGTCTGGAACCAGAGGTCAACCAATGGGGATGCAAGGACAGGTCAGGTGATGACTCGTTTCAAAGCTTCCACTTTTTCTTCAGACCTCAGAGGTCTGCTTCACTCTATGGGGAGCTGCTACCATTAGTGCCTACACTATGGAGTATATGGACTTGTTTTTTTAAATGTTTCTAGTTTATGTTCTTAACCATTTTTATACTTTTTGAAGTGTCGCTGAGCCATTATCTTCTCTCAGCGCCAAATTCTTACATTATTCACTCAGTCAAAGGTGGCCTGTCCACTTCTGCATTGGCTATTAGTCCATCACTATTTTGGGCAGATCTACTGGCCCATAGAAAGGTGCAGAATTGGGTGGGTCAGCTTTTTACCACTACCATTGTTTGAGTCCTCTTATGAGAACAGCCTGGGACGTGTACATATCAGAGGATATGTCTTGTTGGAGACGTCAGAGGGCATATACAGGTGTCGGCAGAGATATCAGAGGACACGTACAGGTATTGCTAAGTCCCTGCACTTTAGTTCTGGGGCCAGTTAAGAAGATAAAACAGAAGTATATAATTTACCTTTTACCGCAGAGTAGAACTTTTTGTTTTATGAGGACACGTCAGCTTTTGTCACGTCAGGAAAAATCTCTAAACGTGTATAAAAGAGTGTGTTTTGTTGTATCAGGAAGCCAAATAGTTGATTGCTAGTATTTCAGGAATGTGGAACTCGCCTGTTACCTGTGCATAGTTTTTTCTTATGTCGCTGTCAACTGTTTATCATCGCTGTGAGTCGAGACCCTTTGATCTGGTTTAAAGTGATTGTAACCCTCACTTTTTGTATAACAACCCATTCAGTTTAAAATAGAAATGAAAGGCAATACCCTCTGTTCTCAGTTACACTGATCTTCCCATTGAAGGAGAGTGTGAGTGTAAGTGTGCGTACACGTTTGTAGGAGGGGGGGGGTCAGCTGAAGTCTAATCATTGGAGGAGTACTGACTGAGTTCCCAGAACAGCTAGATAACTGACCACACTGTGCTGATATCCCCAGAGTGGTCAGTATTTAATAGAAAAGCAGAGGGGACTGGCAGTTATTTCACACAAAGGAAGCAATTCAGTACAAAGAACAGGATACTTTTTCATACAAATACATGGTACAGCAGGCACATATCAGAAATATGAACTGTTGGGCTTACATAATTTTTAACTATTAGGTGTGCTGCTGGGAATTATTTTCCGCTGCAGCTGATTTGTAACAGCATGCAGGTGATGAGACTAATTTACTAAATGAGTTGAGTCTTCACACAATATATTGTGTGACTATTCACTTCAGTGACACAATTATGTGAAAAGCAAATTTCTGTTTTACTTATTTTATCAGCACATGATGGGATAATTGAATACTCACTTTGATTTGTATGAAGATTCAAAACTCTTTACAAGTCTTTTTCTCCATGTAAATCATCAAAATAAGGAGGACAGACACCTCTGAGCTTGCGTTTTTTTTTTTTTTTTTTTTTTTTTTTTTTTTAAATGGTGTATTGCACAGGGACTGTGCGAAAGGCAACAAAACCCCTAGCAATAAGCAAACTAATTTACAGATCTTAGAAATCCCGAAATTGAGAATTTGTTTTTTCTCTTGAATATATGCATACAGATTGTGTATTGGCAAACAACCAGAACAATGTTTTTATCCTGCTTGGATTGGTTTTTGGGAAAAGGTAGTACTCATTCCATACACTTTCTCCAACTGCGTTTTACATGCACCTTTACAGGAATCCTGTAATAAAAGAAATACTGGGGCTGCATTGCTGACCTTTCTGAAAATATTATCCACCTAGTTGTCTCAGTATTCTGAGGCTCTGACCAGGGTCAAGCATGCAGATCAGGAAACTTTTAAATGTGTGTTGGAACTTTTAATATGCATAGTTTCTCTAGGTCAGTGACTGTGAAAGTACTGAAGCCATGAGATAAGGATGACCGATATTAAATTAGATTTTTAGGAGAGGTCAATGGTGGCAGCTCTATACTTGTAATCTGGACAGGTTTTCTTTAATATGCCAATAAATTTATAATCTGCCAACAAATTCTGGCTATAAATCCGGTCATCCACAATCTAAGCTATAGCCCTATTCTTAAAACCAGCCCCCAGCATGACATTCGTACATTTTCCTATAGAGGACAAAGTTGAGCAATGTAGTCCCGAAATATGCAAAAGGTAGCTGGGGCTCCAAAACCTCCCCTGGGATGCTGCCACACACAAGAGCCTTACATGATAGCCATACATGCTTTGATCAACTCTGGAAGGATGTAATTGTCAATCAATTGTTTGCAATCGATTTGGCTTCCATTTTGATCAGATTCGATAAAACAAGTTGAGTCAACCGACTGGGGTGGGATATTATCAATTGTTTTGCATTGGTCGAAAGCACTAAGATACTTTGTTCATAAATACAATTGTATCTTAACCATTGATCGAAATCCACTTCCACGCATGTGGCATACTGATCGGATGGGTCGTCCATTATAAATGTGTTGTCAGTTATATAGATATTCTTATTGGATGATATCGATTGAAGGGAAATCAATTTTTTTTTATCAAAGCATGTATGGTCACCATTTAAGTGGTGGTAGATTTTCTATACAAGAAGTGTCTGTGCAGCCACTAATCGAATTCAAAGTGCTGGCTTGAATTTGGCTGTTGTCGTTATTTCCTCACAGCTAAGAGTCCAATTCAAACCTACCCTTTTGAAATTATTGGCTGAATGATATCAGAAGCATCTCAGACTTATGCCATTGACCCAGGTCCTTAAAGTGTTACTAAACCCACACCAGTAAAATCAGTCTGTATATGCAGTAAAGCATGCTTGTTATACTCACTATGGAACCTAAGGGGTTAATCCTCCGCATTGTGTAAAAAGGCTGTTTGATCCTGTCTTCTCTGATCCTCCCCTTCTACTGTCCCCAATCCATCTGCTGATAGTACAGAGCTCTAGGAATCACTCTGCACATGCTCAGTTTGGTGTATATGGCTAGAGAGGGTTTTTTTTTCTTTGGGAAGGTGGTAAAATAATTGAGTTTCCATGTTCTGTATACTGTGGGAGACCAGATATAGTGCATGCAGGGTCCCGGGTTTAGTAACACTTTAATGATTCCATTTGTACATTGTGTCTTGGCTAGAACTGCCATTTGTATATGTGACATGTTATGTGTTGTCATTACACAGGTGAATGTTTCCATGGCTGGCTGGAGCCTCTGTTATCTAGAATTGCTGAAGATTCTACAGCTGTTGTGAGTCCAGATATCACAACTATTGACCTGAACACTTTTGAGTTTTCCAAGCCAGTGCAGTACGGCAAGCAGCACAGCCGTGGTAACTTTGACTGGAGTTTAACATTCGGTTGGGAGACTATCCCAGCCCATGAGAAGGAAAGGAGAAAGGATGAGACCTACCCCATTAAGTGAGTGTTTTCAGATCTGAGGTTTGTATAACGGGTGCAGTATTTAAAACTTTTAGTGGTGTTCTAGGCATTGCCTTTGTGGGAAAGCCATAAAATTACATTGGCAAAACACTTAGAGATAAGAGGAAATTAATGATACCAGATGCTTCCTTCTCTATGCTTGGCTGTGTTCCACAGAGTTTTGTTGTTACCTTTGTCTGCATATGCTGCATTAAAGGTGTGCTATCAATAAGTGTGGAGTACTGTATAGGTCCCTAGGTGTACAAAGTAGCTGGACATGGAGGCTCACTCTTAAAGGATAAGGTCACCTTTTAGACAAAAAAAAAAAAAGCAGGTAAAAGTGTATTTTTGTCCAAAGGAGCCTGCAAAGCATTGCACCAGAGATCAGTAGATTGCTGATCCCTTGCAGGTCTCCTGCAGACCAGTCAGAATATCTGCTTGCTGTACGAGATGTATGGCCAAGCAGATATTCTGATAGGAAGCTTCAATGAACTACTCCACAGCACTGTGGTAGTTCATTGAAAACTACAAGTCCACAGCCACTAAGCTGTCAGGACTTGCAGTTCATTCATTCATGGAAATCCGTGAATGAATGGTGCGGCTGTGTGGACTACCTGTCAGAGGGGGGGTGGCAGCTGTGACTATGGGAACATGTTACATGTTCCACCCTAAACATGGGTGGAATATGTAAAATTTTCCCAAAGGCGAACTTATCCTTTAACATCCTGCTGCAGAACTCCCTGCTGGTACACATTTATTATTATTATTATTATTATTATACAGTATTTATATAATGCTGTACATTATAGTGGGGGACAGTACATGAGACAGTACAGTAACAATACAATACACGAGGGGTTTGAGGGCCCTGCTCTTTCGAGTTTACAATCTAGGAGGGAGGGGATAGTGGCACAGGAGGAAGTGGCTGTGGTGGATGGAGTGGTAGGAGGAGTGGAGGAGGACACATCTGTCTAGTCCAGTGTTTCTCAACTCCAGTCCTCATGGACCCCCAACAGGTCATGTTTTCAGGATTTCCCTCAGATGAAACAGCTGTGGTAATTACTAAGGCAGTGAAACTGATCAAATCACCTGTGCAAAATAATGGAAATCCTGAAAACATGACCTGTTGGGGGTCCATGAGGACTGGAGTTGAGAAACACTGGTCTAGTCCAATGTTTGCATCCTAGAGCAGTCATACAACAGGGATCTGCTGCTGCCATATACTTGGGTTTGTCATCTGCTCACTTAGATGAGTGCAATCCCACGTATATGGCTAGCTTAAAGGGCACCAAGGAGGACCTGTCATTGCGGGCTTCTTATTTATGAACCACTGACTTGTAACACGCAAACCCAGGGCTAACAGCTGAGAAAGGCAGTAGGTTTATAGGGAAACTATAATGGTTTTTAAACTACTGTATGTTCTATATATTCGAACCATGCATGATTTTTATTGAAGTCCAACGTTAAACAGCACTACAGCACTTACGAGTTTTTATTAAGTCATGTCCTACAGGTAAACAAGTATTCAGCTCGGTAAATTGTATATATGCACAGTTATGGGAAGGGGAAACGCATCTCCCATTACCAAGATAACTATGCAAGTTTAGGTTATCCATGACTTTTTGAATTGTTAGGTCGCTTTTTGACGGGTGAGCGGAGGCTGGTAAAAACAGACCGCTATGCTGTGGTTTTACTGTCCTCCTGGCTTCCTACCTGAACTGTAAAATGACAGACATGGCTGTTCACATGCTGCAGCTACGATGCTCTGTTTTGCAGCCATGTCATTTTTAACTCTGGTTGCAGTGTTTGACAAGTGGCACTGCTTGGGGGGGGGGGGGGGCTGTGCCGCAACTGTGTGCAATGTATCCAATTGCAGCACGCTAGTGCAGCATTTTAGGATTATATCAGGTCTTGAGGAGGTGATGTATTGCCTTCTCACCAAATGCCCACTGAAAAGTGATCTGGATTGCTCTTTAAAAGGGCAACACACTCCACCGCACGTGTGAAAGGGCTAAACAAAACTTTCTGTTACCATTTAAAATGCAAAATAGAACAATGCTATAACAATATATAACCATATCTTTTTGTCCTTTACATAATAAATACAGAAAAAAGAACATTTTGTGCAAAACCACTACACATTCCTCTTTAAAAGCATGCTATATACTATATGCATGCTAAACAGTATATGCATTAATAAAGCTAACACTTAAGGCTTGTTTTAAGATGACCATTCATAAGACTCTCTAGTATTCCACCTTTGGTGTGAAACATGTTGGTGCTTCATTAGCTCTAAATACTACTCTAATAGTTTAATTGAAGGTTTCATTCAGGTCTTATCTGCAAACTCCAGCTGGCAGTATGCAGGCACTCCTTAGCTGGTCTCTCTGTGTGACTCATAGTGGCATTTATGAAACGCTCATTGCTGATCTGCACAAGTCAGGGGACTGAAATTTTTCTAGTATATAAAAAATGCTTACTGTAGATCTATCAATGTGCTTTAAAGGGAAACCATCCTCTTATTTTCTCTGGTAAAGTGGTTGTATGGGAAAAGTATAACCGCAATATCTGGAGGTTAAACTTTTGGGTTCTGGGTTCTGCTTATGCAGAGCAAAGTAACAGTTTGCTTTCAATTTTACACCCCCCACCCCTTCCATTTTTAGGGAGCTCGTGTCTCACTCGCCTTCCTCCCACAAGTCCACCAGTATTACCAAAGTGGTGGTGGGGTTGAAGGATAGGGTTACCAGCCCTGTGCAAGGTTTGGTGCATGACAGCCATGGCCTCCTCCACTGTTTTCATCTTCCACAATGGATGAACTTGCTCTATGAGCTCCCAAGGACTTGAATGGGACTGTACTCCAAAGTGTCTCTAGCCTTTCAGTTCTGAAAGACTCAGTGGAGGAATGTGTCAAGTTGTAGCAACCAGGTGGAGATTTCTAGGTTGGTTCACATTTTTGGGGCTAGGGAGGGTGATCTTGTCAGGGGCCGACTGACAACTCATGGGGCCCCCAGGCAGTAGGGGATCATGGGGCCCCTGTGTCCTCGCCCACACTCAAACCACACCCAAAAACGCCTATGAAAGGTAGCAAGGGCATCTCATGGGGCCCCCTACTGACCTCGGGCAGTGCTTGAGTTTCTGGATGGTCAGTCCGCCCTTGGATCTTGTGTACAATTTTTTAAATGTGCACTTTTTCTTTTACATGTATGGTAAAAAAATTTAGGGGTGCATGTTTAATCCAGATAAAAAAAGTCCTAAATTCTCAAATTGTGCCTGCAGATCTGAGCAGCCTCTGTCTATGCCCAGCTTTTTAGGTGACGTGGCACTGGAGATTGTACAGTCAATTGAGTTTGAGGGAACAGAGGGTGTGCCTGGCTTGCATGCCTGAGATCACTGCCAGCACACAGTGTTATCTTGGCTAATTAGTACTGCAGTTTGTTTATTGCCTACACACCCCGTCTGACGTATAAAATCTTCCACTTTGGACCTCAGTCCATTCTGAGTAGAAACACAAATGTTAAAGTGACATTTTCCTTTACAAACAAGGCTCATAGTGCAACTATTAGAACGATACCTAGAAGAAGAGCAGTTCAGGAGAGGGGTGAAATAATAATAATTATTATTAATATGTAAAAAAAAGTATATGTATATAAAAAAGATACGGTCATGGAATACAGTTAATTCATTTCAATAAAATATGGCAGAAAACAGCATGTCATTTGAACTTTTTAATGCATACCATGCAAAGCATATATCTGGCCAGTCACCTTTTCAGCCTGAAGAAATGTATGGAGTTTGGTACCACACACACTTGGCTAACTGTTGTTGCTCCCAGGAAGAATCCAGTATTACAGGTTGAAGGACACTTGCTCTTGCTGAACCAACCCATAAACATGAAGTCAGTTGGTTAAAGGCTGTCTATACACTACAGTATATGGCCAATACATTTCTGGACGCCTGAATATCATGCCCCAGTATATCAGCACACCTTTAAAATGAGCCCCGGTGTTTTCAGTGACAGGTACTCTTAGGGCCTGCTCTCACCACAACATACTGTATTGAGCTGCATTGCGCATACTTCAAGTGGATATCCATTGTATTATACTGCGTTTAGGCAGCACAACAAAATGCACAGGACATTTGTGTTGTAATGCATACAGTATGGTGTATTTGAGGTGCGGTGGGATTCACTAACGATTAATCAAATTTATATCTCCATGGAACACTGGACCGGAATGTCCCAATTAGGGTACTGAAATAACTGGAGTATGGTGCCACAATCAACAGAAGAAAAATGTTGCCAGCTCACTGCAATCCTCTTGAAAGAAAATTGCCTTTTTTAACGTTTTGTTCATCATGTTTTCTAAAAGAATGCAGTGTTTCAGAACCAACAGGGATCCCTTCAGAAGACAATGTAACACAAATCACCACCACTATGATGTCATATTCCTTACAAAATCACATTACATAAAAATAGCCACAATATTCATACCAGTAAGGATACCACTCTTTAATGAGGCATTTTGATAACCATGGTCTAATGCAGACAGGATGCATAGAAGCGTGTTGTTCTTTAATGTTTCACTTTATTAGATAGATCTTTTTTTTGGCACGTCCCCATGCATTCTTTTCCCCTCTTTTTCTATTCCTATTCCTGTTCCTGGTCTTGTAACCTTTTGTTTCAGCAAAGTACTTTTTATCACCCTCTATGTCCAGGGTCCTTGTGTATCTTGCCATGGGGACTGCAGAGGAGTGGACGCTACCCACTATTTGAGCAGTCCCTGCTATTGCGCCAGTGCAGCGGGGTCTGTTGCCTAGTAATGGACACCATTCTTCCTGTGCATGGAATGGGAGGCTTTGGCCATTTGGTTGTTTAGCAATGGACATTGAGAGATGGGGCATATTTTTAACTAGGAAGCCATATATGGCTTACATTTGCTGAGCATTAACTGTGGGACGTGTTATTTCACTGTTCTGCATAGATGAAATAACAGGCACAAGCATGTTGTCCAGTAATCATAGTGACCCTGCCCAGCCACTTACACATTCAATACATTCAGAACCTTTTCTACACACTGTTCTTTCATAAAGGCAAAGATGCAACCAATATGAGGTACATACCGTTCACACTCCAATATATGTTTCCAGTATGGGGATGATTACTGATAAGAAGATGATTATTATTTTATTTTGGCAGAAATAGGATGTCATTGTGATGTTATGGTATTAGTGATTTGAGTGTTTTCATTGGTGTTTCATGTGTTTTATATATGTGGTTGCTATCTGTTTGTTTTATGTCACTGCCTGATGAAGGGGGCACTGCTGATCCTGAAACATTGCATTCTTTTATGGGACATGCCAAACAATGGTCAATAAAGGCAACTTTCTTTCAAAAGGATTGCGCTGTTCTGGCAACATATTTGTCTTCCATTTACAATGAATGATACCACAGTGCGCATTATACAGTATGTGTTACTACAGTGGCCTGGTGTGATCTGCCCTTAATGCTACAGTATGCAAATGCTTTTTGGGCAATTGCACACTTGCAACCTATGTCAACAGTTTGGGGAAGGCCCTTTTTTTTTTTTTTTTTTTTTTTCCCCTGTGCACAAACCCAGGTCCATAAAAACATGGTTTGGTATGAAGAAACTCAAGTGACTTGTAAAAACCCCTCGACCTCAGCTCTATGAAATACTATTTGGGATTAATTGGAAAAACTCCAACTGTGAGCCAGACCTTCTGGTCCAACTTCAGTCTCTGACCTCACAAATGCTCTTTGAACCAAATTCCCACCAACGAAATCCAAAATCGAGTGAAAGGCTTTACAAATCTAGTCAAAACTGTTATAGCCACAAAGTGAGGGGGGCAGCAATATATATGAATGCCAAACCAGCTCCTATACTGAAGGTGCGATGGTCAGGTGTCTTCATTTTGTTTCCTATATTTATGAATATTTTGTATTGTCTTTAACAATGTTCTTTTTTTATTTTTTTTTTCACAAACTAGATTTGAATAACAAAATATTTAAAAATATATATGCACATCTCTACCTACCTATAGTACCTCATGTTGTTATACATTCACCTGTTGTATGGGAGATGTTCTGCATTCCTCCTCACTAGCAAGAATGTCTACTAGATGCAGAGATTTATGTGAATAGAACGTTGTTCTTCATAAATTGCTGCAAAATATGTTGGCACCTACACAAAACGGGATTATTATGATCATTATTATTACAAATATGTGCCTGGTGCAGTCATATGATATGAGGTTTTTTTTTTTGTAACAGCAAAGGAATTTAATGTGCATAATTCCAAAATAGGTGGTCTGTTTCTAAATAAATGGGTCTATAAGTGAGTATCTTTATTCATCTTTTAGGTCTCCAACACATGCTGGAGGTCTCTTCTCAATATCTAAGGCTTTCTTTGAGCACATAGGAACATATGATGATCAAATGGAAATCTGGGGAGGAGAAAATGTGGAAATGTCTTTTAGGGTATGTATATTTCACAGAATTTGTTTATTGCATCTTGGCATCCCAGTTTAAATAAATATAGCCTCAATCAGTAAAGAGTTCTTAAGTGCTAAAATGGAACTATACTCAATATCTTTGCTTGGTTTTCTTCTGGGTTTGGATTTTCAGCCATCTTGATTGCACAGGGGTTCATTGGATAGAATAGGGGAGGGTTGACCTCTCGGGTAATTTTCAGTTTGTGTTCCACTGGGGAAATTTCCCTTTACTTTCTGTCACAGAAACATAACATAAAGTGGGGGGAATTTCTTCTCTTAGACAATTTTCCTCAGAACAGACTTTCCCTTTAAAAATTTCCTCAGGGGGCAACGCTAAATTTCTGGATTTCCCCTCACTTTCTTTTTTTTTTTTTCGTGGCTGTGATCCTCCAATATAAACTTGAAAATGTACGGAATTCTTGCCTAGGAGAGAAATGTGGTAGTGGGACTGGGTACTTTTTTTTGGAGGAGCAGGTACCTTTTTCTAACAATCACATACTGTATGTTAGAGGAAGTGGGGTGAATTAGCAATACTTTCACTTTTTAGTGAAGGTCCACGTTAATCGTTTCATAGGAGGCAGTCTCCATCTCAGGCTTTACACTGTGCGGTTTTCTTTCTGACAGATTCTATTTACAGTGGTATTAAATTAAAACAAACATTTATTACATTTTCTTTTTTTTAGACTTGCTTTCCTTTACTTTCTGTTGGTGATCCTGCCAGTAAGTCTGTGTTGTTTTTCAACAGAACAGGCTGTCCTGCAAATGTAGCTGTTAGAGACAAACCATTTACCATTGACAGGGGTGCTTTCAATGATCAACGTTTATGTATGTAAAACCTTTTATCCCAAATGGAAAAAAAAAAAACGTTGCTGTAACTGCTTAAAAAATGTTGGCTTGAGTTTGGCTTCAATTTGTTAGTGCATCTAAATCTGCTAGTTTATCTAACATTCCCCTCTCCTGAATAACCATGCTGCTGTCCGAAGGTGCCCCTGTGCTCCTTCATCCAGAGTAGGGTCACTCTAATACAAGAGGTGTTTTACTGTCCAGATCACCAAGTGAAAACAGAGGGGGGGGGGGGAAGCCTAAAAAAGAAAACTAATGTAGCCACCACATCTAATGACTGGTAAGCTGCAATATATTATATTTTTGGCTTTGGATTTGATGCCACTTTAATAAAAAGTTATTTAGCAGCTCTTGTCTAACAACATTTAAAACCAACTGCCTGCACAACCTTGTATAGATATACTATATATCTGGTGAAATCTCACCTTAAAGGATAAGTTCACCTTTTGTAACATCACATGTTGCACCCATATTCAGGGTGTAACATGTTACAAATGAACTGGCCGTCGCACCGCCCATCTCCCCCCCTCTCGATTTCCCCTCCCCCCCCCCCCCCCCCCATCCCGCTAGCTGTCACAATTTAAAAAATATGGCTGTGCAGGGCTCCACCTGCTCAGCAGCGTCACTCATTCACAGGTTCCCAAATCAAAAAATAATAAATGTACATTTTGTTTACCTGGAGAAAAAGAAAAGAACATTTATTATTTTTTGCTGAAAGGTGAACTTATCCTTTTAATGTCCAACAGCTATTAATAGTGTTTCATAGTGGCACTTGGCCGAAGGGGTGACTATATTGAGATTTTCCTATCAACATTCAAACTTATGCATGCTTGTAGTACAGTGATAGCTTGCCTTGCAGTATCCGATGTCTGTGTTCCGAGGGATACTCACCCCTGTTCCTCAGGACTGGGTGGCTAGGCAAGCTGCTAGGATCTCCTTTGTAGACTGGGACTCAACCTTTTTGAGACTTTGAATTATTGCTGTATATAGATCTCATGTACACATGAACTCACTAGTTAAACGCGGCAAAAAACACATGTAAATGCAGTAGCACGTTTAGTTCGCGTTTAGTGCTTGGGCGTTTATTCATTTGATTGGCCACAGTATTTTCCATTGACATGGATAAACGCCCAAGTGCTACACACGGCTAGTGTTTAGCCACGTTTACAAGCGGTTTTGCCGCTTTTTTGGGGGGCCAAAATGTTCCTCTCCTAAACGCGATTATTCTGCGTTCAGAAGAGGAACGTTTAACTGCCCCTTAATTTTGATGCTCCTAAACTCTGGTAAAAGCCTATGTGTATATGGCACATAGGCTTTTATTGAGTTGAGTTCAGGGACTTTAGCAAAAAAAACACCAAAAGCTCCTAAACTCAGGTTTAGGAGCAGCAGTGTACGAAGTGGTTGTAAAGGCTCAAGTTTTTTTTACCTTCATGCATAGAATGCATGAAGGTAAAAAACCTGTGTGCAGCATTCCCCCAGCCACCTCAATACTTACCTGAGCCTCTTTGAGATCCAGCATTGTGCACGACAGCCTCGGCTGTCTCAGGTCTCTACCTCCTCATTGGCTGAGACAGCAAGCGATGTCAATCGCAGCCAGTTAGCCAATGAGGAGAGGGAGGTGGGGCCAAGCCATGGCTCCATGTGTGAATGGACACATGGAGCAGCAGGTGCCCCCATAGCAAGCTGCTTGCTGTGGGGGCACCTGACAGGAGGGAGGAGCCAGGGGGACCTGAGAAGAGGAGGATTCGGGCTGCTCTCTGCAAAACTGCACACAGCAGATAAGTATAGACATGTTTGTTATTTTACAAAAAAAAATATAAAATGAATCCTTTGTATTGCTTTAACTTATAGAAACTGATGTGTTGGATTAACATCACCTGTGTCAATAAGGAAACTTGGGCTTTTCACATTTGTGAGGAAAAGGAATGCCTGCAGAAGTTGTTCCAACATATTTGGAGTGTGGAAGCTTATGGGTTTGTAAGGTGGCTTATAGCGTGGCTTTGTGATTCTAGTAAATTCAAGAAGGGTTAATGAATCTGATTTGGATGCTGCTGGGAAATCTATCCCTCTACTGCCCGCATGCACAGTGAGTTTAAATGTTACCAGAGCAACTTCAATATAGCCAATCACCAGCCTGGAGCTGTTATTAATATCTAGGTACAGAGGCCCGGAGCTTAGGCTCATACGTATATACACACCTGAAAGTGCATCTGACACCGAGAACAGCTGTTGGACTAGCGTGAAATTTCACCGGATATGTATCTACATACATATTGCTGCATAAGGTTTTACATGTTAGTGCTGTCAGGCTACTTAAGTTACGTTTGTACTGTAGAAACTGATGCCTAGTTCACGTTTGCAGCAATCTAGAGCACTCCACAACAATTTTATTTCCTTTCATACAGGACAAAAGCATTGACCCATCAAGGCTATGGTAAAAATAATAATAATTTATATAAGCATTACTTTCCCCAAAAGGTCTGGCTGTGTGGCGGTCAGTTGGAGATCATACCTTGCTCTGTAGTTGGCCACGTGTTTCGAACAAAGAGCCCGCACACCTTCCCCAAAGGAACACAGGTGATCACTAGGAACCAGGTACGCCTAGCGGAGGTCTGGATGGATGATTACAAGGAGATCTACTACCGGAGAAACCAACAAGCTGCAAAAATGGTTAAAGAAGTAAGTGCTGAGAGAAGATACATGGTTATTGTCAGGGCTTTTTTTTTTCCTCAGTCGGTGCAGGAACTCCCCCCTTCTGCGTCACTTCTTGTCTCTGCCCCCCTACTCACCTCCCAGCACTGCTCCTTTTCAAGAATGCAGAGCCAAGTATCATTTTGTGGTGCTAAAGAATTTATTTGAAATTTGTTACTGATAACAAGAAAAGCAGAAAAATAGATCACCTGCAGCCAGCAACAACAGATTCCTCCTGCAACAATGGACCCCCAAAACAAAATACCACCCCAGAAACTATAGACCCCAGAAGCTACAACAGATCTCCCAACAGCCAGCATCAATAGACTCCAGCAGCCAGCAACAATAGACTAATCCCTCAACAGTAGATCCCTTCCAGCAACAAATGACTCCCATCAACAATATACCTCCCCAGCAACAATAGACCAACACACACAAATATATCCACTTCAGTGACAATAGATCCCCCAGTAACAATGGTCCCCCAAAACATCACCCCAGCAACAATAGACCCCCAGCAACTACAACAGATCTCCCAACAGCCATCATCAATAGACTTTCCAGCAACAATAGAAAATAGACCCCTCCGTCAACAGCAGATCCCTTCCAGACAGAATTGATCCCCATCAACAATATACCTCCCCAGCAACAATAGACAACATGAAAATAGATCCCCTTTAGGGACAATAGATCCCCCAGCAACAATAGATCCTATAGCACCCCTTGACATTGCATAGATTCAGTGCTGGAATTGCATTCCCATGTGTTGCCATTGAAAAAAAACCCTGATTATTGTCACTATTCTTGTATGACATCCATTGGTATTTAACCGTAGAAAAATTACATGTAAAAAAAGTCCCTATATACTTAGGCGTTAGAACAGGAAGCAAGTGAAAATATCCTTGATATGGACATGCTATTGCTTTAAAAAATCTGGAAGGGGTTCTTGCTCTCCTCCACCCTATGCTAGTATAAGAACCATTTTTCCAAAACAAAAAACGCTTCCCAAATGCCCATCTGATACCTGCTGAGAAAGCTAGTGTGAACTGAGCCTAACAGTTGTATCTGCATAGTAAGGATTTAATACCGTAGGAGATAGGGCCTGTGTTTGATCATTGCTGTTCATTTAATTGCTGTCAGTGGTGAAGGTCATATGTATTGACTCCAGCTGATCTCTGATGCTAACCGATCTTAAAGCAAGATGGGCACAGAGAGTAAGTGACTTTTAAGGTTCAGGTTCAAAAGATCAGATATGGTGACTTTCAGAATTACTTTCATATCTTTGCTTTTACATGTCATCCCTAAATAGAATCACTCCACTTTTTGACACCATTATTCTCACATTTGAAAGAACTGCTTCTTACTATACAAAGTCACTTTCACAGATATAGCAGATCTACTTAGATTTTAGAAACTAATATTTGTTACCTTGACTTTCCCTTCAAGATGATAAAACTCTGTAGTCTGTGTTGTCTGCCCTCTAGTGGAATATTAAAGGCACTTCTAGTATACTGCAGTGTATTCGTTCCACATCAGATAGTTACATGTTGTAAATGATTGATTTATGCCTTTTTAATCTTTTTAACTTTTGCTGAAATCTTTTATTACAGAGGAACTTTGGAGACATTTCTCCACGGCTAAAGCTCAAATATGATTTGCATTGTAAGAATTTTTCATGGTATCTCGAAAATATCTACCCAGAGATGTTCATACCAGACCTTTCACCAACCTATTTTGGTGCCGTAAGTATTTAGTGGTCAGATGATGAAAAGGAACTGTGTATAACTGTCACTGTGCAGGTCTGTCAGGGCTAGTTTACACTTCCGTTGATTAGTAACACACATTACTGTGCTTACCGATTTAACATGCATTTTTATCTGGTTTATATTTTTTTTTAACCATTAGTGAAGCTAGGCAAATTTCCTGTGTGTGTTGGTTTTATATTTGTTTTAAAGGGACTCGGTAATAACCCCACTCAGCAGATCCCCCACTCGTTAGTACTCCTGCTGAGCAGATCCCCTGCTTATTAGTACCCTCAGCTCTGCTGATTCCCCACTGAGTAGTAATCCCCAGCTCTGCTTATACTCTGGCTTCTGATCCTCCGCTCTCTCCGGTCCCTGTTTACCTCCCGCTATATTGATCCCATGCTGTACACCATGTGTGACATCTGCTCTGCTTCTTCTGCACTGCTGAGTCCTCCCTGTCTGGTCACTGCTCACCTCCTGCTTTATTGCTTCCATGCTATGCACCACATGTGACATTAGCTACTTTCTCCTGCTTCATTCTCCCAGCTCTGTTGATCCTCCATTGCTCAGTCCCCTCTCTCTGGTCCCCGATCACCATCCCACATTGAGCACCATGTTGCTATGATCACCTTCTTGTTGCTCCACACTGCACACCAGATGTGGTGTGTGCATATATATAATATTGGAAGTGGCTGTTGATGACCGCTTTCCAGTTCACTTATTGGTTTGCCAGTGCATCCTGGGATGTCTCATACCTCCAAAGCTAAGCTAACTCTGATTAAGCACCTCTCAACAGCTGAAGGTGCTGTTGGGGAGCACTGCGTTATCTGTATCTCTGGAATCTTTGGAGATGTGATGAAGCACCAAGAAAGAGACATGGGGTATAAATTCTGAAGCAAAGCAGTACATGCCCAACAGTGTGTACAGAACTTTAACCACTTCAAGTCCGGACACTTTTACCCCCTTCCTGTCCAGACCAATTTTCAGCTTTCAGTGCTATCACACTTTGAATAACAATTGCGCGGTCATGCAACACTGTACCCATATGAATTTGTTAGCATTTTTTCGATACAGATAAAATTTTATTTTGGTGGCATTTATATTAGTTTTATAACCAAAAATTATAATTTTTCAAAACATTTTTTTTTTTTTCTTTTTATATTATTTGTGGTTTTGTTTTGTTTTTTTTAACACTGTCACCCTAGCAGTACAGTGTCCCCATAGTGACACTGTACTACTTGTGAGGGGTGATGTAGGTTTTTATTAATCTTACACTGATTGCTTTTACCCCCAAAAAGGCTGTAAAAGCAATAATTTCTCCTCTCTGGCTGCATTCTTGCAGCCATTGAGAAATACTGTGAGTGCTGTGATTGGTCACAGTTTGTCACATGGTACAAGGCTGTTATGAATAGCCTTGCATCATGTGACCTCTGTGATCATTCACAGATGTCACAGGTAGTAGGCAATGATGTCAGAAGTGACATCTTGCTTACTACTATTCATGTGATCACTGATTGATCACTGTGTGAGGTCCCGTACAGCGATTTGTGTTCTGCTGTGGCTGGAGGCCTGAAAATGCGGGTGCCGTTTATGAACAGCAACCCGCTCTTGCTCTGCTCCCGTCTGGACCGTTTATGTACATGGGCCGGACGGGAAGTGGTTAAGGTAACCATTTACTTTAGTGATCGTGCTTTGATTGGCATTCAGAATGCTTTAAAACTACTGGTAAATTGCCGCATGGTGAAGCTGTTATAAATGAGGCCTACTGCTCAGCCTTGTGCTATGGATGCTATATGGGCTGGCAGCTCCAGTGATGAGTGATATGACAGACAAATGTGTTACCTAACCAATAACCATTTCACTATACATTTTCTGAAAGCACAGACCCAGTAGAATAAGATATTGCAGTTGCATTTTTATGTCACACGATACTTGTGCTACTAACGAAATCTATATTTTTCAATAAAAAATACACTCAAATTACTTTTAGTATACACAATACAGAGAAACAATTCCTGTGCTAAGTGTACCTAAAGAAAATTCTACAAAAGCAGCACACCTAATGGTGTGAACACAACACCTAAAAAAAACTGTTTCACAGTACAAACACAATATAGTCTATTGACATCAGATATGTTAGGTCTAAATATTGCATGTCCCCATAAACCAGCAAAAGGCTAAAGTACCCAAAATTGTCCAGAGTAAATCTCTTAAAGCCTTTCCAGTTCATCAATTTAATATTAGCGATATCCCTAGAATTACTACTCTCACTCTGGATCGTGCAGCGATAACATATTGTTTTCTTTATATGTATACAGACACGACACTCATGTTTGCATTCATATGCATATGTACATGGGGAACCCCTGCTAATAAACATTTTTTTAAAATGTTTTATTTAACTTTAATCTTTCACACATTTTATCACCTTTTTTAAAACTTTAATACAAGGCCCCTAAGTGATTGCATAACTATAGTTGCCAAGTGTCCCAGATCTTGTGGGACAGTGAATTATCCTTGCTTGATAACTAAAACTGACCAAACATTAGTAGAATTCTTCATTTTTGGACCATTCATTCGATTTGCTAATCCACTAGTGAGGTCAAATTGGCGATTGTATTTGAACACAGTGACAAGAAAATTTGAAGAAGCGGGATGACAATTCCATTAATTCCAAAATCGAATGTTAAAAGCAAACAAAATTTTGAAGTAGTTTTGAACTGCATTTCTCAAGTCTCTGTTGGCATTATCAAATGCACTGGCGAGATTTTTTTGAATGAACATTTGTCTGAAAATCTACCAGTGTATGGCTAAATTAAGATCTACAGTCTTTTTCCTCAGGGAGCACAGTATTCTTATACAGGATTTATATTGCTTCAGCAGTTTGTAGAGAGCTTTAAAACATGAGGGCAGATCGTACAGTTACAATAAAATTGAAGTATGGAATATTTATTTTTTACATTGTGGACAGTAGGACGGAGGAGGGGTCTGAGTATTTCAGAAAATGACACTGGGAGAATTGATACCACAAATTTCTGAGTGTTGTCAGCAACAAGACTTGGGAGCTGAATGCATTTCTGGCAGATCAACGGGTACTTTCCTGTAGCAGCAGGGGTTTTTAATGGGATGAAATATGAGGAAATGTTTGTTTCATATACAGTACAGGCTCCCCCCCCCCCCCCCCCCCATATACACACACATACACACACACACACA